GAAACAAAAGTTTGCAAGCCAAAGCATGACTCAAGGATTGTAATTCTACCCATCTATGTATCCAATTCTATTCTAAATTATGTAGAATTAGTGGTTAGACTATTTCATGATCTTGAATTTCAATGTGCATGTGTATTACTATTGCTCCCTAGGTCTTGCAATTGCTCTTTGAGGATAGTTGTTAACATAATTATGTATATATATTCAGCATAAGTTCTCTTCACTTTAACTTGATTTTCTTTGAAAGTATCTTGTGTATAAAAATTGTGCAAGGGATTGGTCTTATTTCTCTTAATAGACATGTATGACTTTCAAATATATTGTATGTTAGTCCTTGTTGCTAGCCATTTTTTATACTTCTTTTATTGTTCAACATTATTTGTTATGAAGATAAAAAACATGAATAAAGGCTACCATATAAAGATTTTATTGATTTGGAGGAAGCATATAATATAGTTTCTAGAAATTTATTGTAATGGATACTTATAAAGCACCTACAAGTGCTTTAGGTGGGCATTTCCGTGTCAGACATGTGTCGGACATAGATATGTCGTCGACTCAATTGGACATGTGTCTTCAGCCATGTTTTATTTATTTATTTTTATTTTTATCTTTTGGACATGGTACTGCTCCTGCACGCTTTCTCGCGTGGCGCTTGCATGCGGCGTTGAGTTCATGTGGCCCTCATGTGAGGGACATCTGCTTTGTGGAGATGGATTGTCAGTATGAAATCTTACGATTCTTCGAGGATTCTTGACCAAAATTGTTTGCATGCCCCTTTGTCATCGATAGTTATGAATTAATTCATTTGCGCAAAGAGAGCAGAACCTATAGTTGCATTAGCGACGTCGGGTGTACCTTTGCCCCGAGCCCACCTGCGTCCACCACCACCCATCGTGCTCCCTCAACGACCTCACCAACGAAGCCACCATTCGATTCATCTATAAGGTGTGCAACAAGAGGTTCTAGCGGGAGAAAACCTATAGTTGCACCAATGGCACTAAGGGTACCTTTGCCCCGAACCCACCAACATCCACTGTGAACCAATGATTTCAAAAGGTGCTCGGGCGCTCACCTAAGTGCTCGGGTGAGGCATGGTGAGGCTCGAGCGCCTCGTTTAACATCCAGGCGATGTGCTTCAAAGAGGCGTCGCTTGGGCTCTCACCTGAGCCCAAGCGCCTAGCGCTTCGGGTGAGTGCCCGATTTAAACCAGGCGACTGAACCAACATTTTAGGTATGGTTTGGTCGCATTTGCGTTAGTTGGTTCGCATCCTCCCCCTCGCGACTTCCCCTAACCCCAACCCTACTCACGATTTCATCGCCACATTTCCTCTCTGCTACTGTTGTCGTTGCCTCTCTTCGCTACCACTGTCGTTGTCGCTGCTCTCCGCTACCGCTGCTGCTGCCTCTCTTCGTTGCTGCTGCTGCTCTCCGCTGTCATTGTCGCTGCTCTCCCCTACTGTTGCCGTTGCTCTCCGCTACTGTTGCTGCTGCTCTCCGCTGTCACTCGCTGTTGCTACCGTTGCTCTTTGCTATCGCCTGTTGCCGCCACTGCTGTCTCCGCTGCTACTGCCGCTGCTGTTGCTCTTAGACCTCACTTCTCCCTTTAGACAAACTTCTAAATACTAGGAAGAAATGATCCTAAATCCTAAGAGAGTTTCCCAATTTTTTTCTCAAGTATTTTTCCCTCTTTTTCAACTCAATTTCGTACTCAATTCTTGCTATCCCATGCAGGAATAACTGAGGTATTTATAGACCCCAAATGACTTCAAAATTGGAGCTAAAAAATGTCTTATCCCGTGTGTCCCGGGTCCTAGCGGTACCACCACCTATAGCACTAACACTGGGCGGTACTACCGCCTGACAGTCTCGGAATTGTGCCACGACGGTTCCACTTGTTGGGTCACTGTTTGGGCCTTCCACTTGGCCCAACACAGTCCAAACTTAGGCCTAATTGGCCCCTAATTGAGTTGGCCAAATTCCAACCCAATTATGTGCTAACTACGAATTTTAAGGCATAACACTAAGCTAAATAAGTCCGGTAAGTCTAGGTTTCTTCCGGCGAGCTTCTATCAATCTTTTGACGAAATTCCGATTATCTCTCGGCAATGTTCCAGCGGACTCCTTGCATGCTCCTGGACTTCATGACGATCTTCTTGGCGAGTTTCGACGAGCTTCTTTGGCAAGCTCCTGGACTTCTCGGTCAATTCCGACAGAACTTCCGACGAATATTCGGACTTTCAACGAACTCTCGAACTCCCAGCGATATCTCGTTCTTGACTCCGGGACTTCATTTTTCTTTATGCCTTGATCGCTATCGTAGTTAATCTTGCACACTTAAAACCTACTTCGATCTAGACAATTATTACCAAGCTAATCAAATGTTGTCCGGCATGTCATTGGTTCATCGATGCCTCGTTCGATTTTTTGGCGTATCGTCCTCACTTGCGACCTATTTCCCAATCGGCCAGTTGATCTCCACAACTCCAATTTCCTTAGCGTAATTTCTGCTCTTCTTGGCTCGATGCCTGAACCTATGGCTTGAGGCCTTCTGTCGATACTTCGACTGATCCTCCGACTCGACATCCAATCTTCTGACATGTTCCACTTCGGCCCAACATGATTCTTCCTGCTTTAATTGTCTCTTCCTGATCGAAGCTTCCTGTGTTACTCAAAATGCAGATCAGATAAACACTATCAATTTCATTATTAAAATCTGAGATTCAACAGCTTAGTGGTGGAAAATGATTATGTTATCGACCCCAAATAGTTGGGATGTCATCAAGAAGCACGGACACACACAGACATGACACGACGAGGACAATATATATATATATATATATATATATATATATATATATATATATATATATATATATATATATATATATATATATATA